GGCCTTGTTGAACCTCATGAGGTTGGAAAGAGGGCAGAACTAATTTGCAAAGTTGTCAAATACTTTAAAGATTAATTTTTCTACATCTGCTAGGCAGCAGCCTTCTTCCTAGCCTCCCATTTTCCAGCACAACGTTCTCCCCTTGCGATCCTGCAATGGTCCCCCAGTCAGGGTGTTAGTATACACGTGAAATTTCACATACCTAACTTATAAAAATTCTTTGAAAGCAGCCGTGTACATTACAAGCATTTTTTGGCTGAGCCATGGCAATGACTAAGCGATGGGAAAAGCCTCCATTGAGCTACACTGTAAAGGAAAATGTGGGTGGGGGAAGAGGGCTTTGAGGGTGGAAGTCACTCAGCAGTGGGGTGGCAGTGTCGCAAAGAGGAAAGAGGAGGACTCGGCCCCGCGGGCCGGGCTGGGAGGTTTGTCACATTTCCACCCTGCAGCCACCCCTCGGGCCCGGGCAGGTGACGGCGCCAGAGAGAGTGTCACTATTTGACTCAGCGTGTTCCTAAGCCACAAAAGAGAAGTGACGTATATAAAAAGCATGTTGCTCACCCTTATCTGATAAGAGGGATATCAAGGAGTTTTCTCCACTGCCTAGACATAAAGGAAGTTCTTCTTTGTCCTTGTATTTCACTTTCTCTGTCAGCATGCCTTTCTTCAAGCAATTATTGTGTCCTTAAAGCCTCTTACACAAAACAGAGGACTATCCACTTTCTGAGATCGCCCTGCCATGTTCCCAAATACCTATTGTTTAGCATCCTACTCTAATTATTTCATCAACTTTAAAATCGATTTCTGATAGAGCAGATTTAATTTAGGAGTATTTCAGATAGTCATCTCACCTCTCATGAATTTGGTGGAGGTTTGCCTCCACCAAATCTATTAATCATCTTGCTGGACCAGCAAATGAATAAAGTCTGCCCTATTTCTGTGATGCTTCTGGTAGAAAACGACAATGCTTCACTTACTACTCACCACCCAAATGGTCTCTGGCACTATTGTACAGCCATTCTTTCCCACAGTAGGTTTTACTGTAAAATATGTAGTGGTCTTCACCACAGTCAATCTTTTTATCTCCTCTAATATCAAACTGCCTTTTGCAGTGCAGTCCTGTACAAGATTTGTTTTGTTAGGACCCCAAACGGCACACACAACCCACCAGCCACCAGCAGGGCTCTCCCACTCACACTCAGTTTGCAGGCTCATTAAGCAAATCTACCTGCAAAGGAATAGCCACAGCTGAAGGCAACAGCTTTCTGTACATACAGAACTTGTGATAACTCAACCCCCCGAAAAAAGCGTTCCTCAGGCTTGAGTTTGGTTTGGTGGATTTAAGGCTCCCTTTGTCTGCCATTATACTTCTTTCATTCCTACGGCAACAGGATCTCGGGACTGTCCAGGCTAGTAACTGCTGGGGCTTACAGTTCTCTCCCAGAGGCACAGACTATAGCCCAAATGCTGTTACACATATTCCCATCCCGCAAATCAATGAGAACAAAGAAAAATGCAATGTTAGTCTTTCATAGATGGAGCATGTCTAGTTGGTATGATAAAATACTAAAGCCTTTGTACAATGTGGCTGCACGACGACATGAGGCAATGCCCTCTATGCTGTCCCTCCAAGCCCTGAGTTTCTGAAAACACATGGACAGTCATGCTGTGTATGAGCTGAAGCTCTTGTGTGGTCCTGAACTTGTCTGGTCAATGCAAACAATCTGCAGTGATACCTTTGCATGAGTAACTGCCAACCACCTAATGAGGACAGAGTTAATACAGTTGTACTCCATGTTCAAGTGGAAAGCTTTCAATCTATCATCCAAATAAAGCTGCACAAAATAAAGGCCAACAGGGCTAGCATGACCACCTACAGCAGCTGGGCTCAGAGGAACTTCTCAAAAGATTTCGCAGTTGAAACAGTGACAATAGAAAGGCAAAGCAAACATCAGCAGCAGCCTGCTCCTTGACTACCAACACTTCAACAGCACAGTCAAAAGCTGGACTGCAAGTACAATGCACTCACCCATCAGTAACGTACGGAGCAGAGGAAGGTTCAGTTAAGTAAAGGGCAGAAAGCAGAGCTAAGGACCCTCTTCAGGCACACAGTGCCACTGTCGGAAATCATCTCTCCACTCTCAGCAGCCTCACAGAGCTGCTGAAACACAGAAAAAAAAGATTTGCAAAGCTTCACATGAATGGGATAAAATGAAGCACTGCTTACCATATGGTTCCTCAAAGAAAAGATGCTGGTGATTTCCATTCATGAACTATTAATGAATTAACACAACTTTGAATAAAACCTGAGCTACCCTGTACTTCACAGTCCAGCTGTGCTGCTTATGCAAAATTATTTCAAGACATGTCAATGAAAAGAAAAAAAACCCAAAACTATCATGCTACCTTTTCTTCGAGAAATTAAAATTTAGACTATGTGGTAGAAGAAAGTATTCTTTTTCTTACTTCAGCTCTCATTTTTCAGGATTACTGTTCTGTTAGGTGTCATTAACTATCCCTTTCACAAGGAGAGGTTTTTTTTGTGCACACATGATAGCATTACTTGTACCTCCACATACACCTGCAAATTCTACTCTTTTAAGCTTTTCATTTTCTGCAAGATTGAAAGAGGCTAAAGCACATGAACAGCACACAGTAAGCAAATTATTTGTATACAGAAAACAAACACCCCGGAGTATGCCAGACAGAGCTCTCATCAGCTCAAATGCTCATTTTGAAATGAGCAATAAATGATCCAGTCCCACTGCCCAGCTTCAGCCCCAGACAGAAACCTACAGGTGCATTTTAGCCCATGTCAGCACGTCACAGAGCAGCCTTCCAGCCACCACACTGAAGTCCAAACACTGGGTAGATTCTGTAAAGCATCTCCAAAGCCACCTGAAATCTTCAGACATTCAGAGGCAAAGATTTAACTGGAAAGACATTTGAGCATCTTTTTATTCACCACAGTGAAAGTGTGCAAGTAACTGGCCTCTACTAATTCCACACAGGAACTTTTTAATGGTAATACTACAGTATTGATAAACATCTATTAACGATAATAGATAAAGGCCAAACCATTGATTAATGATAATATAAGAACCATTTGAACTATTTTTTTTTCCCATTTGCAATGAATTACTAGGAATAGTGATTGTTAAAATCAACTGATTCCTAGAGCTGGCAGTTCAGCAAGTCCCCAATGCCTGCAGAGAGCCTTACTATGAATGGTGCAGTTCAGTGACAGCAACAGAAACTGGGCTTGGGCTCAAGGCAACTAATATAAAACCAGGAGTATACTCAAAAAGAACACCTTTAAATACCTTTAACTTCAGTGACAGTGGTTTAGAAAGAAAGCAACTGTGGAATTCCTCATAGAACATTCTTTACCAGCATTTGTGGAAAAAAAATCCATTTGCTAATCCACATCTTTCAAATATTAAATAAATTTCCTTAAAAGCAACATACGTAATTACAACGGGCATCAGTTTTAACGGGCATTACTTTTGAAGGAAACAAAGTCTCCCTTATTTCTTAATTCTGATCATCTTGCTTTGTTTATTCTCACTTCACCTTTTTTTAAGTATGCGCTTTTGTTTGGATTTCACCCAAAACCAAGGCACTTCTGCATTTGCAGGAGAATTCTCAGGTCTCAGTATCACGCTTCCTTTGAAAGGGTCGCATTAAACTGCAACACGAACCTGGCAGAGAGCTGCTGCAGGATGCAACTGAGCATGTTTAGCTGGCACAAGCACTGCCCCCTCTGCAAAGCACCAGCATCCCTTGGGACTCAGCCAGACTTAGTCCCTTACAATCCAGTATCGCTCCCATCTGTGGAGTGCGTGTACTACATGGATCCACCTCTCCCAGGGCAAAGCACCTCCCTGCATCTTTGCCCCGCAGTGGAGAGGCTCTCTATGATGCTGTTAAAATATCTGAGACTGGTTCAACTCAGTATAAAACAAACTTCAGCTGGCTTAAATGTTAAGATGGGCTTTTACTCACAGCTGTCACAGAAACCAAGCCAAGAATGTCAAAGTGGCAGTTAACAGACATCAGGGGGAACTGGCTAAGGAACAGCCCTTGGGGCCATAAAGTAAGGAGGATAAACATTTAAATTCTGAAAAGTCCTGTTGTATTTCTTCAGCACAGTACAGAAGAACTTCAGATGGATTGGAGAGATTCATTGCTGTAAGAAACAGGAAAAAAATGCAGAATCTTTGTTTACCTAGGTCTGTGGTTTCTATGTACCTACTTTTTACTACGTTCATTTCTTGACTCAAAGTGAAAATGGGAATTCACCCTTTTCTCTTTTTTTCCTGTCCAATGTGCAGATGGGGCAGATTTTCATTCACTCCATCAATCCCTGCCCCCTACGCACAAACTTGCATACAGGCACCTAGCCAGTGGAAAAGAAAAAAGGGTTACTCATTAATCCACTCTACAAAGCTTTCCAAACTGAAATGGGTGGGTTTTACATCTCCAGCAAGGAGCAGTATATAGGTAGGTGCGTACCATACCTGAGCACAGCTCAAACCAAAGTGTTCATCTTCAGTAGCACAACTTTGCTCCTGGCACATTTTAAAATGAAACTCATCAGTATGGAGAGGATGATTATTTTCTGTATGCTTTTATTCTGTGCCAGAGTGGCACTGGGTGCAGCTCAACACAAAACAGCAAAATACAAACAGGTTTTGAAGACAATTAAACGGTTAGCACCCACAGTGAAAGATAAGGTAAGAAAACTATTTGTCATAATACAGAAATTATTTCCAGGCATTCTGTATTGCTTAGAATATATCTTATGAGAGACATCACTTTCAAATGTTAAACTTTTCTAACTTAGATTTGTTTTACTGCAGGATGTTGAACTTCTGCATACACCAGAAAACCCTGTGGTGAGACTGCTTTTAACATTTCTTTCTAACTGTATCTATTCGATTTGCTACTGGTTTATTCCATTGACACGTGGCAGATGCCACCTTCTTCACATCTCTGACCTACTACTCTTAATGCAAGCTAGACTGAATAAGAAAGTACTTTGATAAAAATTCATTATTTCTGGATTTTTAATGGCAGAAGTGTTTATATTATGCAACCTTAATTACTATTTTGCTATCATGTGTGTATTCTCACACACCCACAGAACCAAATCTGTATCTATTCTGTTTACTCAAAAAATGGTGCTAAGAGTGAGGAGTCATACAAGATCCAGGTAAGCAGCAGTGCTCTTTGGGGATGCAGGTTTTGGGAGCTGAAGCTGAGCTGAACCCAAAGGGACCCCCCTTGCCTCCCACTGATGTCCCAAGAGCAGAACTGTAAGGCCATGTTGCCCTTCTCTTCTGTGTAGCCACACTGGCTTCTCTGAGACTATCCATGCACAAGGGCTGTGCTATCAACAGGAAGACAAAATTGCATTATGCAAGTATTCTCTAGGGACTACAGTTAAAGTTATAAGAACAGGTCCCTGTGAATCTCTTTTTAATGCATTTATTTATTTATATCGTATTTAATGCTGATATTTGGCATGTTCCAAGGTCAAGAACTTATTATAGATAGTAAATGACACCGGAGTCACAGAAAGCATGTGCATACTTGAAAGTGGCAGGATGCAGGGTTTGCTATGAAATTAACTGCTAATGGTAGTAACAAAGTGCCTTCTCTGGAGCATGCCCAAAGAAGGGCAACAAAGAAGGAGCATCTGAAGGAACTAGAGCTGTTAAGCCTGGAAAAATGGAGGCTCAAAGGAGACCTTCTCTCTCTCTCTCTACAGCTACTGGAATAAAAGGAGGTTGTAGCAAGGTGGAGGTCAGGTCCTTCTCCCAAGTAACAAACAGAACTCAAGGAAATGACCTCAAGTTGCACCAGGGAAGGTTTAGGTTGGATATCAGGAAAAATTTCTTCACTGAAAGGGTTTTCAAGCCCAGGAACAGGCTGCCCAGGGAAGTGGTGGAGTCACCATCCCTGGAGGGATTTCAAAAATGTGCAGATATGGTGCTGAGGGACATGTTAAGTAGTGGACTTGGCAGTGCTGGGTTAACAGTTGGACTTGATGATCTTAAAGGTCTGTTCCAACCAAAACTATTCTATAATTCTATATAAACTTAAAAAGTAAATGCATCCTGCTTTCTTTTGATAATCCCCAACATGCAACAGAAGTCTAGAGCTAGCTGTGCTTATTCTCAAGTTGCACTTCTCCTGTTATCAGCTGTCTTAAATTTACCCATAATTTTGCTATTTGAGCCCTGCTGACTGAGGAAGCAAGCAATTCTGACCAGTCTATAAAAATGAACCTTATGCATAGGTTTTGAAAAACGCCCAGAGCACAAAGCTATTCACTCAGGCCTCTAAACGCTCTTGCAAAATAACGACAAAAAGAAAGAAACTCACCTCATTTCACACAAGTTTTGTTAGCCTCCCCCTGGGCTTTGCAGTTGGGTGCATTTTTTACTTGCCAAAAACATACAGAAGCATGACCAAAACAGATACATTCCTTCTCATTGCTAGAAATAACTGCAGTGCAAAACCCTAATGCACCGTAACTAATTGCCGGGTTTTTTTTTTTTTGGTAGCACTCTTTCTAACTTGTGGTGTCAAAGTGAAAAGAAGGAGATGATTAGCTGTCATTTTACTGCTGGAGTTTGCCAGCACCCCCGAAAAAAAAGCAAACACAACTAGTGACTAATCTCTTAATCAGGTTGTGTTTTTTTTTTCTCAAGAAAAACTTGGGCACCTCAGGAAGGAAGACAACAGTTCATTTGCAGCTTAGAAATTTACAGTCTGGGAGGACCCAAATACCTCTGCTGAAAACTAGAGAAACGGAGAACTGAGATATTTAGAAGGTGCTAAATTGATAAAGGTTCAACCTCTGATGAAAGACTTGAAAAAAAATATTGGTGTTCTAATAGTAATTGCCACCAGCAACCATATTAACAAACTTATCATCCTAGAGGGTGAAAATGACATTTACTGGATTGTCCAGATAGCAACACAGGAATTACACTGGGCCAAAGCTGCCCTCAGGGTGCAACCACACCCTGCTGAAGCTGCATTTAATAAAAAGCCTTTCAAGTAACTATACTTCAAATATCAAAATATTGTTTCTATGATAACCCACTTAGACCTGATTTATGTTTAGCCTTGAATATTCAAGACTACTATCCTATACAACTCAAAGCTATATATAACTTTTTATAACATTCAAAATTCAGTGGTTTATCACTATTTGTTTCAACTTCCTTGAGGTTCCTGTGAGCAGGCTGTTAGATCAACTTAAATCCCAGTTTCCTTGAATGCTCAACAAAGAAATACCTTTTTTTAAAAAAAAAAAAATAAGAAAAAAAGAAAAGGAAAGTAAGAAGTTTAAAAGCTCAGTGGACATCAGCTCCATAGAATACATGCTGTGGCTGACAAAGAAGTCTTAAGTCTAAAGTGATGGGAGACTGGAGGGAAAATAAGTATCTATTGCTGGCGACTGACAGCGGGGCGGAAGCCAGTGACACAATGCTGATTTACATCAGATCAGCATCTAACCCCACTGATGGCTAGTTCAGGAAGTGAAGGCTTCCAGTTAGATGCAGAGTATTGCTGCAAACGGCCTCTGATGTGAGTATTTTACATGCTCGCCTAGCCCCCCTCAAACATTGCCAGTAGTCTGTGCTTTTTAAACCTCTTCCTCAGAGTGCTTAACCCATCACAACATACTACAACCCACAAGCCCTGGGGTCCTTTGCCCGTTGGCCTACCTACAGCTAACTGTTAATGCAGCAAAAAAAAAGAAAAAAAAGAAAGAAAAAAAGAAAGAGCATATATGTGAAATACTAGTTTCTCAGCTCATCACAGATGAGGCAAAAAAGGTTTTCAGTTTCAGCTGGAAAATTAGTCTCTTTAAGAACAAGTAGTTTTTTTCCAGTAAGCAAGACTGATTACGGTAAGAAGTTTGAAACAAACATAAATGTGTGGTTTTTAAGGAAAATAAAATGTTCTATTTAACCAATATAAAATGTTGCTATTAAAATTTGCTAAAATGAAGGTTGCCTTGTCCTTGACAAACTGCAGCAGCATCTAATAAACCAGAAGAGATTGAGCTTCAGCAGCAGTTAGCATGCAAAACAGGGATGATGGCTTTAGAGCCATTCTAAATTGTGTAATCAGCAGTTCTAAACGTTTCCTTCTTTGGAAAACAGAAAACAAGTTAAAAATCAGCTCCAGTAAACATTTTTCTTTCTGTATTGACTACAGATAAGTTTCAGTGATATTTTCCACAGCTGTGCTGCCCAGTGAGGGAAAACGGCCGCTGTGCAGGGAAGGAGATCCTGGGGAGCCTGGAGCCTCTCTGTGAGCATCAGTAAAATTACTATGCAGCTGCACCATGGAAGGGAAACAGCAGGTTGCCTTCACTCCAGACAAGCAGCAGCAACAGAATATTTATATCATCAGAATACATGACTTATTTTTCACGTTAGATACAGATGGTGCTTACTTCCCTTGACTTAGGTTGAACATGCACCTGAATTTAAAGCAACACAGTAAGACAATTCACTGGCTCCTCATCCTCCCTCTCATCCTTAATCCCTCTTTCCCTTTAATGAAGGAACTAATTTACTTCCGCACCTTCATTTCCCATGCTATCAAGTGAGAGCATTTGAATAGCATCTAAAACTGGGCAGTTCTACATCAATTCTAAGTTTCATTATTAAGTAGGCAATATTAGAAATGGCATACAAATTAGGAAGGAAAAAGTATATTCCCACATTTAGCACTGAGGAACAGTCCAGAGTGATCTAAGTTTTTAAAAAGGAAAAACTCACGCTCATGCTTGTGAAAACATCATCTACTCTTTGGTAGCATTTTTTTTCATTTGCTGTCATGATCAATAACAAGCTGGATATTTTAGACATTTATTATATGAGAAAATGAATAATTATAAAAGAACAGGCAGAGGAAATGTTAAAGGCCTCTTGTGTACTTAAGACTCGCTTAAAAAAAAAAAAAAAAAGCACTCTTCAGTTTTGCACATGGACCACAATCTAGCACATGCATGAAAAAAAGCCACAACATTTGTTTTAAACCTGTTCCTTCTTTTCCTGCCCTAGGATGGATGCCTGTTCACAGCTGTGAGCTGCTTCCAGAAGGGTGTACTGAAATTACAGCCACAAACCAGCCAAGTAAATCCTACATTCAGCCACGCTGTCAGAATCCTGAAGTCCCCCTTTGGGAACCCCGGAGAGGTAAGACGTCCTCACAATGCCCAAAGTCGTGACCATTGCTCCTTACTGCCTTTTGCAAACACCACCTGCAATGGTGGGGCTGCAGAAAGAAATCTTGTTAGGAAAACTGATCTGCCTTTCCTTACTTTGGAAATTAAAGAAGCCAAATTTTATGCACTTCTGGGAGAGGGACTCACTCTGCTCCTACCACTTGCACATATATAGTTTGCAACCACACAATGTGCTGGACAGAGGGATGGGGATTATGGCAAAAAAAAGTGACTGAAAGGTGTTGTTACTATATTGTTTCCCCTTCTGAAATAGCTTGTGTCTCAGCTTTCCCGTTTGTAAAAGGCTTGGATTACAACCCTCTTGATTTTTCAGTGAGAAAGCTTGAAGTATCATTTGTGATTCTGATGTGCTGTTTAGAAGTGTCATGATTTTCCTTATCTTCCAGAATTGTGAGACTCCATGTGAATCTTACGAGAAAAAAAAGCCCAAAGAGTTTTTGAAGAGCTTTGAAAAACTAATCCAAAAGGTAACCAGAGTTAATTACTCCTGTGTGCTTTCTGACATATTGCAAGCAATCACAGGTGTCCATGTTTTACACTGTTTCTAACAACACATTGTTTTTACAGTTTATCAAGGCCTAACAGAGGACAAAGCAGAGCTGAAGGCTACTGAAAATCTACAATTTAAAGCAGACACTATGTTATTTAACACAACGTGAAAAATGTAAATATTTTCCATTGCTTCTGTGCTATGTACTGTGTGTGTGGTAAGTGAAAGCTTCTACCAAAATATTAAGAAGTCTTACCTTCATAAGCTGGATGGTCTTTTGAAAGTGATCCTAGCCTCACCATGCTGTGATAATTATACTGTAATTTCACAAAAATGGGTTCTCTTAAGGGACTTAACTTTGACCTTCTGCTGAACTAGACATAAATGAGATGGCTACTCCTCTATTTTTGCTTTGATCTTAAATGAGATTCACACAGAGATGTCTGAAACTTTCTAAAGAAATTGGAAAAAAAAAATTATCAGAGGCTTTGCTCAAGGCTCAGAAAGTATCTACTTGGACTAGTTTCCTTATCTACAATAATACCACACACAATTTTATTTATAAGTTTTTAGACTGTATCTTAGCTAACTATGGAAAAATATACTGCATTTAACTGTCTTATAAATACTGGAAAAACATTCATAAATCATACTGTATGTCATGGGTCTGACCTGTGTCCACCCTGAAGTTAATGGCACGGCCACTGGGGGATTCACATACAGTAACTGATTATTTAGAGGGAAGCAGCTCACAGGTGTATTGCTCCTTCTCAGAAGACAGTGTTTCACACTCATATTCATGGAGCACTAGCACTATTCCTTCTCTCTACTCTTGGTTCATTTTAACGGTTTATGCTTTAATTGCAAATTTTCTTTAAAAACTGTCAAGCTTTTTTGGTATGTGGAAACCTGTCTGCACAGGTTCCGAATCCTGAACATTTCTGTGGAACTACAGCTAGAAATACCATTGAACCTTTTTATTTAAAAGTCAGTATCAGCACACTTAAAACTAGTCTTTAGTAGCTTAATTATATGTCACCACGTTCTGCTTGCAGTGATTCTGTACCTCTAGATTTGTCCATCTGAGCAGTAACTGTTAATTTTCCCCCAAAAAGATATTAGCCCCACATGAGGAAACCCATCTTGGAAGGGAGTGTAAAGCCTTCCAGTAAAAATTAACCTTTCATCTAATTTTTTCTTTACTTAGTAGAAATGTGGTATAGAGAGGAAACTGGAAAACTACGTCTAGTATTACGATGGAAAATGACAAGCTTAGTTACCTCCAAAAATAATGAGGTTGTATTAAAAATATTTCCATTCCCACCAATGTCAGCCTAAAGGAAAACTAATACAAAAAGCAGCTTTCCCTCCACGTTTTTGCTGTCCTGAAATGTGAACCTCCTCAAAGATGTATGTTAGAGGAGAAAGGAAGATTCTTAGGACAAGAACAAGCCAAGTTTCTACAGTGAACTCTCCTTGTTTCTGGTGAGGAACACTTTAATTTAGATAGGTTTGGTCTTTTTTATTTTCATCTTTAAAAAATTGCTTTTCCTCTGAGTAACGTTCCATCTCATACCTCAATGTTTCCACATTACTGCATGAGAATTAACATTCTAAACATGAACCACCATTCATATGTAAATAATCACTCTATTCATTTTAAATGATGTTATGCACCTTTTTTCCCCTGTCTCTCTGACTGTGCTACCCATAAAGTCCCTTAACCACCAACTGGAAAGCAATACACAAAGCTGCTGCTGAGACTGCTATGGATTTTGAAGTTACCAAAGTAGAGTAAGTCAGGATAAAACTTTATTTCAAATTTGGATAAAAACTGGAAAATAATTTAAGCAAGTCCTGCAATGGCAAGAGTACCTGCTGATGTTTCCACAACATTAAATTTAATTTTTTTATGGGGATTAACTGAATCCCTTTTTCATGAACTGCATGCTTTTTTTTTTCCAAGTGAATCCTAGAAGGCCAACCAATAAACCAGCACTTCTCATTCACTTGCACGGGATACTTCCATGTGCAGAGCTTTGGGGAAAGAGCTTTATTTCTGTAAAAAGAATACAGTATGTTGGTTTTCCTATTCGTAAATGTCTTTTCCAGTAATTCACCAAATGCATTCAATATTCTGAAAGAGCCTGTTGAAATTCTGGTTGTGCAGATGAAATGTGATTAGCATGCCCTAACAAAGAGAACTATGTATTTATTAGGAATTGTTATAAAGTGTTGAGAAGCAATTTTTGTACCTGGGAAGGATATTTTATGACAGAAAAGCAAGTTCCTATGAGAATGTCATAAGCTAACCAGTTACTCCTGCCTCCACTGGAACAATTTCTGGATTGTGTACACAAGGCAGCGTGTAATGCAGTAAGTAATGTAGCTACTTCTGTTTAGTCACTTGCTCCTCTGTTTTTAAACTATGGATTTTATCACACAAAGCATAGTGCTAAAAGAGTGTTTCTGTTGTTTTAAACTTAATATACTAATTTGTTAATTGAGGCTATTTCTTGTACCTGCAGAACAACTTGATTCAAAATGCATATTCATAGGATTAAAAAAACAGTAACAAATGTAACTCAGAAGGTTGATTGTTCTGACATCTTGCAGAAAACTGTATTTATTGGACAATCCAGTCCTGATGCATGTGGGGAATATTAATCACAACATTACTACTGCTGATTTTAGCAATAGTAATGATTTTTAGGGCAGTGTCAGCACAATCACTAAGGGCAACTTTGTACACTTCAAATCTGCTTTGCCTTACACGCCGCTGAGGCCTCGTGCTAACTCTGGTCTGTGGGAATTATGAAAGGCTGAGTGCATCGTTCAGGACTCTCTGAATCCCAAATGGAGAACAGGAAACGGGTGAAGAACAAATCAGTCACCAAGACTACATCATCTTGTTCTTCGATACTCTCCTCAGGAGAAAAAACTGAGGATGCCCCAGGTGGAACCTGCGACCCTAGGAAGGACAATGTGTACATAATCTTGACTTATTTTTATATGCAAGATGAACTCTTTGTAGTAACTGCACTCTCTGCAGAAACAATGTATGTTTCATTAACACAGTATACAGAGTAAGCTGTAAAAACTCTTTACCTCCCAGGGAGGTTTTACAATGTATTTATGATTTTGGTCATAAGTGTCCTTTGCAGGCACATCAAGATGTGTTTTAGCATGCTATATACTATTCTGTATAATATTTACTTTTCCTGAGAAGTTTCTTTATTTTTATACCAAAGGACTCATCTAATTTAATTATTTATTGCATTTCTGTGAATGGAATGTTCATACTACGGACTATGTGGTCTGATTTATTTATATGCCTCTGATATTAAAGAATTTTAGCTAATACGATTTTTTCTTGTTCTTTTCTTTACAAATCTTTGACCATTCCTACCCTGACAGTGGCCCATAAGACCCTCTCAATGAACTTTATTAGCCTACACTGTCTAAGATTTTGCCTGATCAGATCAGGGCCATGGTATACAAAATAAAAGCTAAGAAAGGGTAATTTTTTTTTTTATTGTTTCTACCTCATTTGAAAACTTTTTTTTAAAAAAACCCTGGCTTTTCAGACATAATAAATTCCTTTTGGCAAACTCACAAAAGGTTCAATCAATTCACCCAGATTTCTTTAGACTGATACAAACAAAAAAAATCAGATAACTTCATGTTTTGTGTCTGCACACAATAAAGTCAAACACCTGAAAATGTAACTCTAGAAGTAACAATTATCAAGCCTGCTTTGTGCAGCTCTCAATGTTCATCTCACTTTTCTCTTCCTTTGAAATGTCATCCTATTTTACATCTTAATTTGATAAGATATGTTGGTATTCTCAAAAAATTAAAATTTTTAGCTCCTATACTGTATAGCTGTATTTGATAATTTATAAAAATGCCTCTTCCTTACCATGTAACAAAACCAGACTTTGTTCCAACAAACAGGCACAAAGCTCTAACAACAAGACTAAACAGTTGAACAGCTCTCCGCTCCCTCTTCAGAAAACAGTGACTCAAGTAGTATCTCCTTCCATTCTGCTTCCTCTCATCACACACCTGCGGTTGTTTGGCCTGATTTTCCTAAGGACAACAAAAAAATCCTTCAAAAATAAGTCAAAACAAATAAGAAGTGTCTTAAAACACTGGAGTCTTCATACCAACTGCTCCGAGGTCCAGGACAGAGGATGATGGGCAGGACAGTGCTGCTGTGACCTCTCTCCTAGAAGACAAGCAGTTCTGCTTGGCCCAGTAGGTACTTTCCTTTCAAAAAAAAGCCAGTAGACTGACTCCCAAGGAGCTGGGTGTGCTCCCAAATAGTTTAGTGAGGCAGAACACCTGAATTTCCAGCCTGGATCAACCCTGTACAAGTGTCTGGAGGGAAGAGCAAAAGGATAGGGTCTAACCCAAGCAATCCCTCCCATCTTTGCACGCAAGAAGCTGGTGGGAGTCAGATACGCTGGGATTCACCCTGACTTCACTATTAGTCAAATCTGAGCCATCTGCCCACCCCGTGAAGAGACACAAACACATTCAGGAACAAGCCACCTCACTCCAAATGAGGTCTGTAATAGAGATTACTGGAAAAAAAGCACAGGGAACAGGCCTCACTCAGATAACTCCATATTTGATGCCTAGTTCTAGGTATGATAAATCTCACCCAAGCTACCTAGGATTTAGATGCAAGTCAAAACGTTCAGAATAAATTTTGTGGCCAATGCAGTGTCTCCAGGTGCATATAACATATTTAATGTATTTTGCACATACACACTGCTTTTATTTCTTATTTGCATCTTGCAGTATTTCCACCTACAGCTCCAATCGCATTAAAAAACACAGGAAAGACCCATCCTTGCACTTCAAAATCTAAGGACGTTAAAAAATAAATACAGATTAAATATGTAAGAACAATTTCAGAATTATTATTAGAGGCTCATCTAACCATGTTTCTCCTGCGGGCTACTGATA